AAGGAGGTTATAGACGTGTTGCATGATATCCGGGACAACCCAGACAGCCGCGACGGCCTCACGAGGTGGTCTTCTTTCGAGGAGGTCCAGATCTGGCTGCACCAGAACGTGAGCAAGAGCAAGTGCCTCGACGCCTGCGAGTGCCAGGTGGCGTCGATAGGCAGCAAGTGCTACTCGAGCCTGGTGTTCGCGAAGGAGTCTGGCATCAAGGATCACCCAGAATGGTACCCGGGCCTCACGGAGAAGTCGTCCGCGTACGACTTTCAGGACTACCTCTGGAAGAACGTCAACGAGACCGAGTGCCTGAGGCCCTGCATGGCCTTTCCGCAGAACGACCCCTCGCTGTTCTGCTGGTCGGTCGCCCGCCAGTGGGGCTACGAGGCCGACGTAATGAAGGCGCAGGTCAGTGCGGGGGCGGGCATCTTCAGCTGCGACGGCTTCGCGGTGGTCAGCGAGCAAGAGTGGACCGTCGGCTGGGGTCCAGGAGGGCGCATCGGCGAGGTGAACACGCTGACCTTCGACAGCGCGCCAGTAGGTGTCTCGAAGGACGGCACCGCGGGAAACGCGCAGCTGTTCATGAATGCTTGGGATGCGATCTTGGATCGGACCATGGTGATGGAGTTCGATTGGGGCATCAAGGTGGACCCAGACGCCGTCGTCGTAGCGGACAGGCTGAGGGACCACGTGAGGGACAGGACGGGCTCCAACGTGTTCGTCAGGAATTGCAACAAGGCGCCGGAAAACCCAGAGTTTCCGATGATGTTTGGGTCCCTGGAGGCGATCTCGAGGGGAGGCCTGCAGGTATACAAGGACGCCAGCGACCGTTGCAGGAACGAGCTTCCCTGGTACTCGTGGGGAGAGGACCTCTTCCTCGGCAAATGTCTTCTTCACCTGGGCGTGGGCCCTCTGGACGACTTCTCTATCATCAGCGATGGCGTCTGCACCGGGGTCAACTGCAACGACGGCTGGTCCGCTGCCTTTCACCCGTTCAAGAGCAGCGATGCGTGGATGAATTGCTGGAACACGGCCACGAGCTACATGGGCGGGCCGCCCCCGCCGCTCCCTTGAGCTGTGCCGTCCAGAGAACCTGGTTCGGAGCGCTCGGCATTTCGAATTCGTTAGCCAATTCTTCCCAGCGCATGTCAACGTTGATCGACCTCGCATGAGGCTTGTCCAGGCGATCCGCTGAGAATGTGAGGAAGTCTGTCTTGAGTGCCATCGGTGCTGGATGTCCTGCTCTGGGAGCTCTCCCTCTTACCCGCCAGGCGCCTCGCCCTCGCTTCCACTGTCCTCTCGGAGGATTCAGTGGCCCGGCGCGTTTGACCTGGCGATGTTTCTGCCGCCAGCCATGGTTTCACAAATTCGTTGCCATAGTGCTTTCACGGCTTATCTCACATCAAGTGTAGGCCGTGGGGTTTTGGTAAGGGGGAGGTGGAAGCAGGTTTTGGCCCATTATTGCGTGGGAGCCCCCCTTTGCATGAACGAATGCCTGAAGGGGCTGGACTGCGGCCCCGGATTGGCATGGGGCCCCCCAGCGGCCTGTCGGGGCCCAGGGAGCTTGTCGACAGCTGTAAACGCTCCCCAAGGCCGTCCAACATTGCGTCTGGGGTGCTCTGGCGCCACCACAGACCCCCCCAGACGGTTTGAAGCCGCGCCAAGAGGCCCCCAAGAGGCCCCCAAGAGGCCCCTAAAAGGCTTCTAAGAGCCGCCCCCAAGGACCGTGGGAGGCAGCAGTCATGTCGTTTCCATCGGAACATTGGCCTTCTCAGCATATTCGCTTTTCCAGTCTTGACAGCCTCTACGACGGTCCAAGCGGCGCACAAGGAGGCTCCAAGACCGCTTAAGAGGCCTCAAGCACGGCCCAAGGGGGCCTCAAAACGGTCCAATTGAGCTCCAAGAGGGCCTCAAGAGGGTGCCAAAACGGGTCGTTGGGCACTATCTTGGGAAATGCGGCTCCCGTCATGGCCCCCAACACCTGCCGGAAAGCCTCCTAGAGGCCCCCAGAGGATCCCGAGAGCCCGAATACGCACCCGGATGCCCCAACACAGCCCCAAGAGGCCCCAAGGGGCTCTCTAAATGCTTCCAAGAGTCTGCCAGGAGGCCTCCCAACCCCCAGAAGCGCATGTGACGTCTCGCGTTTGCATCCTGCAGGGCTTTCCTAGAGAGGCTTCAAGAGGCTCTCAACTCACGATCCATCTCAGGTCTTCGAGACCCATGAGAACCACGCCGCGAGGCCCCGAGAGGCACCCAAGACGCCCCGAACTCACGATGCGGCGGTATGCGAACCTTGGCTCTGAGGCTGTCGGTGGAGTTCCCTGTGGAGTGCGATCCGTGTGAGGAGACAGTCAACATACACAGGGAGACGTGACGTAATGCGATTCCTCCCACTAGGGCCGCAGGTGAAACTACATCCCTCAGGTGCTCGATCCGTATGAAGGGGGTGCCAAGATTAGGGGACGGACGCCATGCGAGCTTACTTTGTCCCTGCAGTCCTTTGGACCCTCCGGCCGCCTGGGACACATGGGTCCACACCTTCGGGTCACCCATTTAGCCCCTGGGGCCCCGGCCCCGTCTTCGGTCCCGAGAGCACTCCAAGAGTACCCACGATGGCTTCCAGATGGCCCAAGGGTCCTCCGAGACAGCCCGAGAACGCCCCACGAGCGCTCCAAGACCGCTCAATGTAGCTTCAAGACCGCCCAAAGCTCAATAGACAGCCCATGACTTTTTTTTTGGTTGTGATTCCGGCGTATCCGCTTTTGCAGCCTCTGTGCGAGCCAACCAGGCTCCCGAGATTACCCTCCCAAATCGCCCACAAGACCCCGAAGGTGCCCCCAAGAGGCCCGTACGAGGCCCCCATGCCGTGGTCCTAATATGACTCCGACATGGCCCACCAGACGTTTAACCCCGAAGGGGCGATAATAAAGTACCCCCCGCCCCCTTAACCCCCTCTATGTTTTTTATCCCCGCCCACAGGGATCTATCTGTGGGGAAGGCGCGGGGGCCGAACCTGATAACCACCTGGAAAGTTGCGGGGATCGAAGTTGCTATCATATCATGTTGATTAGCAACAGTATCAAAAACGCTTAGCATGGCCATGATGGTCTCGCCACACCAGCTTCCGCAATCACGAGCGTGTGGCAGGGCTGTGGGTTCTCACCAGTTCAGTTTGCCCACGTTACGACCGCGCGGCAGGGCCATGGGATGCACTACAAACATGGAGTAAACGTCAGAACGACGTTTGGGTAGGGATCAGCACTTGCCGAGTGCTGATCCCTACCAAACTGGCCAATCCTCCTCCTCCTCCGCCTCCTGCTCTTCCTCCTCTTGCTCCTCCTCCTCCTCCTCCTCCTGCTCCTCCTCTTGCTTCTCCTCCTCCTCCTCCTCCTCCTCGTCCTCCTCCTCCTCCTCCTCCTCCTCCTCCTCCTCCTCCCCCTCTGCCCCCGCAGCTGCCCAGGCCCAAGCTTCCCCGAGTCTCCAAGCAGCGATCGGGGGGGGATAGGCATGCCTAGGCATCGGCGATGTATCGCCGATGCATCTGCATTTTTTTTGGGGGGGGGGACATCGACCTGGAATCTGCGGTACATCGCCGATGCATCGAGCGCGCATCGCCGATGCATTGGCGATGTACCCCCGATTCCAGATCGATGTCCCCCCCAATGCTTATCCATCCCCTTTCACATCGTTGCCCCTGACTGCGTCGCGAGCCCCAGCGATGGCCCATCCGGCCGAGCGCGCAGG